TTGAGGTTCTCCTATTGATTTCCATCGATTTGCACTCCTTTTCCACCTCATTCCACCACTTTTCTGCATCATCCATCATCCATCTTCATCTGTATGGCTGGTGTTGAGATTTCAGAGCTTGGAGGAGCTATTTCCGAGGTCATGAGAGGCTAGACCGCTTTACCCTAAGGAGTTTTGATAAAGGTTTGAGCTTAGGACTTAATTTAAGGAGTTTTACTTTATCTTTTCCATTACTTTAATAGCATTTCAGTTGTTCTTGGTTAGAATTTTTGTGTTGTTATTAAAGATGAACTTCAATGATATGATCTTGTTATTTTGGATTGGATGTTGAGAATTTATGCTTTGGTATTTCTTTTGTAATGAGAATTCTGTGTTTAAGTCTTGTGAATTTGATTGGTGTTCAATCCAAGTTTGGTTTTGATTAAATGTGGTGCCTTGCTAGCATAATTGGTTATTATGTTCAAGTTGTTATTACCACTGCATCAATCTCGCCAAGTGTGCATTCATGAGGGTGGTTAGATTTGTTATGAGTCTTTGGGTCAAAGGTTTCATTAACAAATTAATTTACATAAGTTTGGAAGGTTTTCTAAACTAGCTAAGATTGGTTTTCAAGTAAACTCCCAACATATTTTGAAGTGATGAAGGCTTAATCAATTCTCCAAGGGGCATTTTTATCAATTGAGTTTTTAAACTATCCATTTAATTGCTTTCTTTCATTCCTATTTTAATTCATTTTAAAAATACCAAAAACACTTTGCTTCTTCTATATTTTGAATTCATTGCAACTTAATTCAGTTTTACAATCCCCCTGATTTTATCTTTTCGCACGATTTTGTCACTTAGATTACATAGGATCAATTCAGGCTCCTCGAAGTGAACACAACCTGGATTGTTGAAACACCCTACCTTTAACCCCTCAGTGTACACATTTGCAAGCGTTATAGTTCAAGCAGATCATGACACAAGCCCGTGGATTTAAATTTTCAACATAATTACTCGGGTTATTATTTACTCTTTAACTTCCAAATAACAGGTCTAACTTCAAAAATTCATAACTAATTCCATAAAAATTGTATTGAGGTGTTCTAAAATTCTATAGAAATTCATGTTGATACTCTTTGAGGGAAAAATATCCAATTGGACTTATCTTTGCCCAATCCATACAATTTAATCAATAAATATTACTGTTCATTTCGTAAAATCTAGAACTTCCAGATTATATGCCTCAACTTTGGAAATTCGTATCTCCTTGTGTACATATCTAATTGAGGTGATATACTTCTCATATTAAAGCTTGGGATATGTACTATGAGTCTGCCAAATCTTGTGACTTAACGCATTCATTTGATAGGTCAAACTGGAGCTACAAACTCACTGCTCTAGGACATACGTTTTATCCCTTAACATCTCTTTACTTTAATTCTTTTTATTTCTTTGGCATACATAACATGGGCTTACTCTTTTCTGTTCATACTCATACATTTCTATATATTCCATAAGTGTTATAATTAAATACATGGCATCATTGGCATCTACAACATAAATTACATAATAGGAGAATTACACATTGAATAATAATATCATTCATTAACATTAATAATTCACCATTTTCTCCTCCTTGCTTCTCATACTATTATTGCCCATCATTGATTGACCTAAATGGTTAGTTAAGAAGGGGTGACATTCAGGAGAATCTCAGAAGCAAACAATACTATATTAATCATACTAGATGGACGCTAATACACTACATGCAACTTGCTTGTTCTCTTGTTAGCTAGTGACATATTAGCATGCTTAAAGCTACCTTCTTGATGCATGGCCATGGAGACATAATCTACTCATCATAAATAGCATTTACAGCAGCCAATACATGTAACAACAACATTCAAACATCATGTACAGCAACACACAAGCATACAACATCAAGCAATGATAATAGGTAAGTTCACTACCTTGCACCTCAAGCTTTCCTCTTACTTTTCCTTTGACTCCTTTGACTTTCCAACCATGTGGGCATTCAGTTAACATCACCAAACATCCTCTTGGATATCCTAAGATCCTAAACATAATCACATTGATCACACAATCTATTAGGACCACTAGATTACATAATATTCAAGACTAGCTCTCTTGAACCTCAACCCTTTCTCTTCATTTTAGGGTTTTCTTTCTAGCTTTTCTAACATAAATCTCATCATTTTTCACCATTATGATCCATTTCTTGTCAATTAGGACCACTTTAGATGGCCTTAGATTTAAGAAGATCAAATCTGAAAATTTTGCTTCGCGGGTACTGTTCACGCAGAAATTCCAGAATTTTTGCTCAACTTTGAAAATTCATAATTAATTCTAGAAAAATCAAAACTGAGTGGTTTAAAGTCTTAATAAAATCTCCTTAAGTTCTCTTTAAAGAAAAAATAGTTTCAAGAACCAATTCTATTCTGAACAGTACCAAAATTGTATGGAATTTGTCTCTCTTCCAAAGGTTAAACACTGTTTCCAGATTTCAGACCCTAACTTTGAAAAATCACCATAAATCGTACACATATCCAAATAAAGTGTTCTACCCATGGATTTAAATATTACAAAGTTAATTTAATCATGCAAGATTTTAGAATTAGATACAAAGAGTACTCATTCAAAATAGGTATCAAATTAGATGCTACAACCATCACATACCTTGACTTTGAAGCTTGAATCTTGTTCCTTCTTGGCCTTCACCCCTACGTTTTTCTCTCTAAATTTTGGCAGAGTTTTCCCTCTACAAATGGCTGCCAAAATTCTCTTCTAAGTTGGGTATTTATAGCCAAAAGTTTGGCTTGAATGGACTAAAATGTCCTTGGTGGCTAATAGAAAGGGTAAGGACAATCTTGGAACTTCAAGTTGACTTTTACATCATCATTGCATCATCTTGTTGCATCATCCTTATCTCATTCTTCTAGAAGATGTCAAGTGTCACAAACGTGTGGTGGAGGAGAAGGGAGATTAGATCCTGGCCATTGGATCAAAACTTAATCCTTAAGTTTCCTCCAAATTTACTTGGCTCACGTTTCTCCGCCGTTCTTTATGACCTTCTGGAGCTCAGAAAATTCTTCTATCTACTCCATAAATTATTTTTAATTCTAGAGGGTATCTATGAATTTTCTTAGGCCATAATATTTCCTTTAAGCTTTGCATAAAAATTCATTTACTAAAATGCCCTTTTATCGGCATAACCGGCTTTTTATTTATTAAAGCCACTCCACTAGCCTTTTGGTTGCGGGACTAATTTTATAAATTAGTACAACCTTTCAATCATTTAATCTCATTTTTGTATACATTTTTAAGGTCTCTTGCTATTTCAAATAATTACCTCGGACAATATACTTTTTACTAGCCATAAGCTTATAAATTCCATTTAAGCTGTCTCAGAGGTACTTTCATCTTTTCTCTTCATAGAAGAGCCTTAGAATATTATTTCTCATTTTTTGAGATTTTCTTGGAATTCTTTGTATACTCTTCCATTTTTACCCCTGTTGGTCATAACTTTATAAATTTACGGTTTAGTCCCTGCTTGGACTTAACTTCATACAATCCTCTCTTTGAGGTTTCTAACTTAACCCTTGGTCTGTATCTAGCCTCTTTTCTCTCTCTGGGCCCTTAAGACTTTACTGGAGCCTCTAGCTTTGATTATACTTGAGCCCCTGAAAACTTTTACTTTGCAGTTTAGTTCCTAAGACTGCTTTGACTTCCTTTCTTATATTTGGGACTTCTGCTAAAAAAGGGTCTAGTAGCCTATCTAATTCAGGCTATTTCTGGTACTTCTAGGCCTAAAAGTTTGAATGTTACAATCGTACTAGTATAGTACGTTCCTATTTGGAATTAAATCATTTTTAAGAGCCCATAACGATAAAGGTTTCATCAAACTGGTGCCATTATCAAGGAGCCATTGATTTGGTTCCTTGTGTAATTTGGGTGTCAACTTAAGTGTTCAGCTTGCGTTCAAACTGTGTGATCGAGGTTGTCTAGTAGTTGCATTTGCATTTTAGTTGTCTTCGAGTCTTTAGTGTTGACCATAGTTTTTGTTTCTTTACATAGAAAATTTTCTGAAAAACTCATAAATATCTTGATTTCCTTTAAGTTTTGCATTTACATTTCTTCTGGTGCTGTTAGTTGCTCTGTTTTTACTGTTGCCCTATTCTAAAGTCGATTATGTCAAGATTTTTAATCGCGACTAATACTTGTCTTGCCATGACGAACTGCCATTCCTTTTTCTGGGTTTGCTTCGGTGAACTTTTTAGTCATGACCAACTCAAGTCTTACCGCGACAAAAAACCTTTTTGAGCTAAAAATTTGTTTCTAAGTCTTGGCTAATACATACTCACTCCACATTTCATTTGAGTGTATAGTTATACTCATTCATCATTACCCATTCATCATTCATTCATACCCTATACTCTTGCACTCCATTCATTCATCTATTTTATTTGAATTGCCTTGTGTGCAAGGAATTTTTACATCTCTTGACTATGTATCTGAAGAAAGATTGAACCTTTAGTGCCTTACCAACCTGAGTTGGAGAGAAATTTAAGGAGGTTGAGGAGAGAGTGTAGGTTAGCCACCATTAGTTCCTACAATTCTGACCCACCCACTAGTGGAGAAGAGGAAAACACAATAGATACACTCGTAGAGATCCCGATCATCGAAGGTACAGATGGTAATAAGATGAACCTGAATGACCTTAGGCAAAATGAACCAACTGGGGGCAATGGGTTGACTGGTAATGGACATGAGGGAGCCAACGAGAATATAGGATTCAATGGTACTAATGGGCCACAAAGAGGGAGAACCATTAAAGACCTTACTCAATTTGATGCTAGTTTTGAGCCTTTGCCTATTTTTGAAAATCATTTTCAACTTAAAGATCAATTAATACACTCATTGCCTAAGTTCAACGGTTTGTCAAGTGAAAATCCATATATTCATTTGAAGTTCTTCATATGCAATGCTTGTCTATGAAGCCAACTGGAGCGAGAATTAAAGATGTGCTTTGGAAAGTTTTTCACCTATCTCTAGAAGGAAAAGCCAAAGAGTGGTATATGAATCTGCCCTTGTATGTGGACAACCCATATGAATCTTGGACTACACTGAGGAGAGCTTTTCTTGACAAATATTTCCCATCTACTAAGATCTCTACTGCTAGAAAGGAGATATCTGCTGCTAAGCAAGAGGAAAGAAAAACTTTCTTCCAATTCTGGAGCCAATTCCATGATATGCTAACTAAGTGCTCGAACCACCAGATTATTGAGGAGCACCTTGTTCACTATTTCTATAATGGGTTGTTTCCACATGATGCTAAAGTGTTAGATGCTACAGCTAATGGATCAGTTGAGTTAATGAAGCCACAAGCTGCTTAGGCCTTAATTCGCACCTTTGCCCTGAACCGCCAATATATGAGCCTTAGAGATGCTAGAGGGTACAAGGGAGATAGGGATCCACTTCTTGTCAAACTAGCCCAAGACATGGCTAAACTAACTTCTACAGTTCAGAATCTAAGGAGCAACCAACCTCACACTAAGCCTCTAGCCTTGGTCACTACTTCTTGTAGCATATGTGATTCCCCAATGCATAGAACTAAAGATTGTATCGGTCCCGCTGAAAATGCATCTACAATGTATCAACAGAGGCCGAACCAATACCAAAAACAAGATCCATATTCTAATACTTACAACCCGAGTAGAAGGATCACCCTAATTTCAAGTGGGGGGCAACAATCAGGGTCAAGCTAGGAATTATCAAGGAAATAACTACCAAGGTGGTGCCTCAAGCAACTATCAGAGACCTAATCCCTCTTCTGCTGTAGTTTTGGTTAATCCTCAACAACAACTGAGTGGTGGAAGTAGTGAATTGCAAATTATCTTAAAGGAGATTGAGAACTTGTCTAGCCAAATGTTCAATAGTGACAGCAAGGTAGCTTCCTAGATAATAAGATGAGCCAAGTGGAAGGGAAGATGGCAGCTATGGGAAGTCAATTTAAGAACAATTTTGCTACTGTCTATTCAAAGATTAAACAGCTTGATACTAGACATGAGAATCTGAATGGGTTTGTTACTCAAATGTCTAATACCATGAATGATCAACAAGCTAAAGTTAGTGGTACAATGCCTTCAAACACTGTCATAAATCCTAAGTCTCTCAACGCCATTAAGCTTAGGAGTAGGAAGCGAGTTCAATTCGCTCAAGAGGAGGGCAACAATAATGAAGTAGAAAGCCTAACTCTCTCACTCATGAAGCTTTCTGAAAGCTCTAAAGAGAGGGCATTGCTCAAGAAATCCAAGGATCTACAAGGAGATGATCAAGAGGGTAGTGACACCAATGAACGCCAAGAGGATCAACCCAAGGGAGTTCAGAAAAATCAAAGAAAAGCTGCTATAAAGAAAAGGAAAACGAGCAAAGATAGAGCCTTAATGCATGATGGTAAAGAGGTAAATTCTAAAGAATTCCCTTTTCCCAATTCATTTCTTATGTCTAAAAGGGTTGTAGCATCTAAAACTTTGAAAGAGGTTGTGGATTTCTTTAGTAAGCTTCAAGTGAATTTACCTTTCATAGATTTGATTGATAATTCCCCACCTTTTGCTCAATACCTAAAAGAGCTTTACACTAATAAGAGAAGATTTAAACCCAATGAATTAGTTCAAGTTAGCCCAAATGTTTCAACCTTATTCAAACCCCAAATCCTAGTCAAATGCCAAGATCCTGGTGCTTTCACTATTCCCTGCACTGTAGGAAAAGTTGCTATAGCAGGAGCCTTACTTGATTTAGGATGACTATAAATGTTATGCCCTTGTCAGTGTATAGAGCTTTAGGAGTTGGTATCTTACAGACCACTACTGTTACACTCTAGTTGGCCAATATAACAACTAGGAAACCCAAGGGGATTCTAGAGGATATCCTAGTTTAGGTCAAGGGTTTGCTTTTTCCTGCTGATTTCTATGTGCTTGATATGGCTAATGAGTTGTCTCATGAATCCATACTCATTCTGGGTAGACCATTCTTGAGGACTTAAAACATGATGATTAGAATAAAAGATGGTGTTATAATCATGGAGGTGGGAGAGCAAGTAGTTTCTTTCAATATGTATGAGGCAATTAGGCATCCGTATGAGGATTATTCTTTTTTGGATTTGAATGTTATTGATTTTGCTGTTGATGATGCTATTTTTGAATTTGAATTGAGTGAGGTTATCTGTGATATTTCTGAATTTTATTTATATGAGTCCTTCCTTAATGGGGATAAAGCCACTACGTCATTCTCTTCCCTTTATTCTTTTCCTTTTGCATGTTAATGTGGTGGCAGCGAGACGTGTCTTAATTGTGTAATAGTTAATTGTATATGACCAGCCCCACATCCACTTTTATTGTCATCTGGTGAATTTGAATCTTGCATTAGCACCATACGTTCAATTATTAGTGATGATTCTCTTGGAGAGGAACTTTCTATTAGTGTTGTAGGAGATTTAGATTTGGAGGAGAGGCAGAGCATTGTAATTTCTAAAGATGAAGCTTACTGTCTTCCTCATTCACCGTGACAAGACGATGGCTTGGTTGTGACAAACAATTCTATCCCGAGAGGTGTCAGCTCTGCTCCTTCAGCTCGTCACAATGAAATACTCGTAATGCTACAAACTCAGAGTACCTATCCACTGTTGCTGTTCCACCTTCACACCTGCTTCATAGAAGAAGCCTCGGTTTAAGGGCCATAGAGATTCCTACTTCACCTTGTGAACTAATTTCTTACACCATTTCTTCTCATACTTTGAAATATCTGTTTGATAGTGCCCTAACTTGTTGTTCAAGTAATACATATATGATATCTAAGGCCGTTGCTAACAATGATTAACAGCTAGTTGATTCAACCCTTGGGGAAATGGAGGGATCAGTGGTGGACTCAATCAACCTTGGATTTATTCCACAGTTGAGAAGGGGAAGGGGAGTAATCTTGTACTTTCTTCTATTGATATTTCTCAATTAATCCCTTCTCTAGTCCAACCCCCCACTTTTGAGCTTAAACCCTTGCCACTTAACCTTAAATATGCTTTCTTGGAGTCTAATGAGCAACTTCTAATCATAATTGCTAACTACCTATCCCTAGAAGAGGAAGACATGTCACTCAATATTTTGAAAAAGTATAAGAAAGCCATAGGATGGACTCTAGCTGATATACTTGGTATTTGCCTAACCGTCTATACTCATAGAATCTTTTTAGAGGAAAAAGCAAAACCAGTAAAACAAAACCAAAGAAGAGTCAATCCTTTGATTAAGGAGGTAGTTAAGAAGGAGATCTCAAAGCTCCTAAGTGCTGGAATTATCTACGCCATCTCAAATAGCAAATGGGTTAGCCCTATTCAGGTAGTACCCAAAAAGACTGGGTTGACTGTAGTGAAAAATGAAAAGAATGAACTTATACCCACTATAGTCTAAGATGCATGGCGGGTCTGTATTGACTATAGGAAACTTAATGATGCTACACGCAAAGACCACTTCTCCATTCCCTTTCTTGACCAAATATTAGAAAGATTAGCAGGCAAATCCCACTATTGTTTCCTTAATGGTTTTTTCGGTTATTTTTAGGTACCCATTGCACTAGAGGACTAGGAGAAGACAACATTCACTTGTGATTTTGGGACTTATGCTTACAAAAGGATGCCATTCGGACTTTCCAACACCCCAGGAACCTTCTAAAGATGCATGATGTCAATCTTCAATAATTTCTTGGGGGATTGCATGGAGGTATTCATGGATGACTTCAGTGTATATGGAAACTTCTTTGCTGCCTATTTATCTAGCTTAGAAAAGGTTTTACAAAGATCTATTGAAAAGAAGCTAGTCTTGAATTTTGAAAAATGCCACTTTATGGTCAATGAGGGCATAGTTTTGGGCTATTTGATTTCTTGTAAGGGCATAAAAGTGGATAAGACAAAAATTAAAATTATCTCCTCTCTCTCATACCCTACCAATCTTAAAGAAATTCTATCCTTTTTGGGACATGCGGGGTTCTATTATAAAGGACTTTAGCGAAATTGCCTTGCTACTTTCAAATCTTTTGAAAAAGGATACATAGTTTGAATTTAATAAAACCTGTAAAATTACCTTTGATACCTTGAATGCTAAACTGATTTCTCTACCCATCCTAGTTGCTCCCAATTGGGACTTACATTTTGAGATTTCTTATGATGCATCTAACTTTGTTGTTGGAGCCATACTAGGGCAGAAAGAGGATAAACTTTCAAGAGTGATCGCTTATGCCTTAAAGACCTTGGATGCTGCGCAAGTCAATTACACAACCATTGAGAAAGAGCATTTTGCTGTAATTTTTGCTCTAGATAAATTTATACCTTATTTGATTAATTCCAAGGTTGTTATATTTACTAACCATGTAGCAGTACGGTATCTTTTTAAGAAACTGTACTTAAAACCTCAGTTGCTTTATTGGGCTCTTCTCTTGCAAGAGTTTGATCTTGAGATCAAGGACCGAGCCAGAGCTGAAAATCATGTGACAGATCACTTAAGCCGATTTCTTGTAGACACAAGGGGAGTTGATAATTTTCACCTTATCTTTGATTCTTTTCCTGATGAGATATTATGTTCCATAGCTCTTAGGGAGCCTTGGTATGCTCATATTGTGAATTATCACATAATCGAACTAACCCCACCTTCTATGTCCACTTATTAGGTGCGAAAGCTCCAAGCTGAGTCCAAGTATTATGTGTGGGATGAACCATTTCTCTGGAGGCTATGTGGTGACCAGATCATAAGATGGTGTGTGCCGTAAGAAGAGCAGCAACGGATTATCACTGTTTGGCATGCATTGTCTTGTGTGGGGCATTTTAGCTTAAAGAGGACAGCAAGAAAAATCTTTGAGAGTGGGTTTTACTGGCCTTCCCTATTTAGAGACTGCTATGAGTTTTGTAAATCTTGTGAGACATGTCAAAAATTTGGGGGGTTGAGTTGGAGGCATGAGATGCCTTAAAAGCCCATGTTGTTCTGTGAAATGTTTGATGTTTGGGGTATTGACTTTATGGACCCTTTTCCTCCTTCTAATGGCTTTAATTATATCCTTCTAGTAATTGACTGCCTTTTAAACGGATAGAGGCCATCCCCACCTGAAAAGATGATGCCAAAACCGTAGTTGAATTTGTCAAGTCTAACATTTTTAGTCGGTTTGGGATTTCTAAGGCCTTAGTGAGTAATCAAGGAACCCATTTCTATAATAGGCTTCTTAGTAGCTTACTTGTTAAATATGGGGTCACACACAAAACATCTACTGCCTACTACCCTCAGACAAATGGCCAAGCAGAGGCATCCAACCAAAAAATTAAGCAGATCTTGGAGAAAATGGTAAAGCCTTCAAGAAAAGA